CGCCTTGATGCAGGTACCTCGAAGATGGAGCTGGAGCTATGGCGCCACAGGTAAGTCTCACTGGCCTCCGCCAGCCATCTCTCCCAACGCTACTACTACCACCTACTAGCGCCCAACGCTGAAGACTACTGCTATGGCTACTAGCGCCCAGCGCTGAAGACTACTGCTAGCGCTAAGCTACTCCTGCAGCGCTCCTCCTGAGTGCTGCGGCCGAATCCTGAAGACTACTCCTGCCTTCTGTCCAACTACCTACCTGTGAAGTGCATGGGAACTCCCTATGTACTTCTCGGCCTGCCTCCTGACTGCAGGGCGACGCAGTCCAGGAGGCTGCTCTTGCCAATGCCGAAGGGAGTCAGGGGCTGCCGCTGCAGCTCCTGCTTGAGGCTGTCGTGGGAACAGGCCAGAAATAGCCTGTTCCCGAAACCCTGGTTTTGTGCCTGAGTATTAAGGTAGGTCGATCTTATGAGGGCCCGAAAGTGGCCCTCCGTTTCAGGCTGAAAAGCCTCAGGGCTGAAAAGCCCTGTGTTTAGGCTGAAAACGAAATAGGGCCTGCAGGCCCTCGTTTTCAGTTTTCAGGCTGAAACGACATGGGGCCTGTAAGCCCTTATTTCTAGGCTTTTAGGCTGAGAATGCGGGACGGGCCCTGCAGGACCGTGTGGCTACGCAGTATGCCGGTCAAAATGATTTTTATTTTTATTTTTCCTGATATTTTTCCCTGAAAGATCAAGACCTAATCTATGGACCCTCAAATTTGCAGACCTTTTGATAATTTCTTCTGAGCACAAAAAATCGGCAAAGTTGCCGCTTGCAAATGGCATGATTGGACCTGCCTGTGACGAACGGTGGTCGCCGCCCCTCCGTACAACCCAGCCCTAGCTCACCGGGCCGAGGGGTTTCGGCTGGCGGGGGGACCGGTGGTACCCTAGTTGTGGTTAAGCATCAACGACTTCCCGGCAACTGATACCCCTCTGAGGAGGTGGGCACCAACCACTGCCCTCAAGGTACCTGTGACGAAAATCAAAGCAGACTATCACTCAACCACACCAAATGGAAAACTCTACAGACTGTCGGTTCACAACTTCACACCCCATTACAAGCCAGCAAAACACCCACGAAACAAAGAAAGGTCTGTCACAGCCAGACACTACACTCCAGACACGAATCTGGACGTGTTCTCCATGCAGACAAGCAGTTCAATCTCGATTCACTGCACCCTCTCCACAAATCCGTGTAGGTGCAGGCATTCAATCCAATCCCTTTTGCTAGTGGTACCTCGCCTCTCCAGCGGACCAGCACCGTCAGGGAGTCGGACCACTTGGAAATCTGGCATTGCAGTTAAAGCCTTGAACCTTCGAGTCTTGGGGAAATTTTCGAAATGCCCCTCCGAAATCCATTTATTTGCGGCATGCCCCTCCGACGGCCGACTTACCCTGCCGTGCCCCTGGGGCCTCTGAAGTTTTCCGCAGGCCCCCGCCAGCGAGG